AAGTCGTTTTGATGATTGTGTTAATTAAATGAGTGATGTGAGCAGGAAGTATAAGGCTGCCATAGTTTTCAGTCTGCACTAATATTGAGAGTTACTTTGCTTATGTCTATGTAAAACAAAATATAAAGCACAAGAAGTTCAAGGAGCCAGTCGTCCGTCCGTCCATCCATCCATCCATCCATCCATCCATCCACACTGAACAAAATTATAAATGCAACACACTCTTTTTGCCCCATTTTTCATGAGCTGAACCCAAAGATCTGAGACTTTTTCTATGTACACAAAATTTGTCTCAAATATTGTTCAGAAATCTGTCTAAATCTGTGATATTGAGCACTTCTCATTTGCTAAAATAATCTATTCACCTCATAGGTGTGGCATATTAAGATGCAGATTAGACAACATGATTATTGCACAGGTGTGCCTATAGGGCTTGGTATTGTAAGAAAATTTGATTGAAAATTGAAAAATTGAATTTGATACCGATTCCTGAATAAAGTTCTCCTTTTCCGACACCAACTTTAGGAAATCCGTTTTAACAATAATACATTACCTTATTTTTCGTCAGTTTGTTGACTTTTTTACACTCATATTTTGAGTCTGTGAAAAAGCACCAAGGCTAAAATCATTTAACAACATGCATTCTTTACTTCAATGAGCTCATTATTTCTGCCAGAAACTGCTCAACTACTCAAAGAAATTATTCAAATTGTAATTTAGACACATGCATTTTCATTAAAGCTGCTTTGAAACTATTTGTTTTGTGAAAAATGCTACAAATAAATGTGAATTGAATTAAATATAGGCTACTGAGGTGCGGGATGCCTCACGCTCAGCACACATATAGATTGCCACAAAGCACTGGCAAAAATGGCCAAACGATTATGAATGTGTCGGGAAAAAAAAGCAAGGAGATATTTAAAATTTTTTTATTAATAAAACAAGTGTTTACTGAGTGTGTTGGCTGTAAAGATGAATATGGCAATTTTGAATCATCGTTAGACTCGTCACTGCAGTAGTGAACACGCACGCACGCCTATATTAATTACATAAATCAAGCTATTTATTTCTAATTGCTTCGTTTATTTTGACCATTTATAGGCCTATTTCTCATGTCTGTGAGTCAAGTATCCTATACGGCGAGTTTCAGTTCATTTGTGACGTGCTCCAGTTTTCGCAGTCGAAGATGGATAAACTTTCTCTTAAGTGTATTCTGTGCGCTTTTAAGTGCCTTATCAGATTCATCTTGTTGCCGGTCTTGGCAGCAATTATTTTGTCGAAAATACTGCATTGCGTGCTTCTGGCATCGAGTGTGGTTCATAGGTGGGTACACTTTTGATCTTTTCTATCTATCTGGGTTGGGACGCTTGCTCGCTCACACACACACACACACACACACTACAGCCTCACGTGCGACGAGCCACGCCTCGCTGAGCAACTGCGTGAACTAACGTTAGTTTTTTTCCGCCACAGCCAATGGCTAAATTAACCCCTTAGGTATCGAAATTTGGTACTGAATTTGGGGGGTCCGAAAACCAGCCAGTATCTGGTGTGACCACTATTTGCCTCACATGTGCAAGTTTATCAGGTTTATGTATGTGGCCTGTGGATTGTTTGTTCACTCCTCTTATATGGCTGTGTGGAGTTGCTATATTGTTAGGACCTGGAACACACTGACGTATACGCCGATCCAGAGCATCCCAAACATGCTCAATAGGTGACATGTCAGGTGAGTATGCTGGCCATGCAAGAACTGGGATGTTTTCAGCTTCCAGGAATTGTGTACAGATCGTTGCAACATGGGGCCGTGCATTATCATGCTGCAACATGAGGTGATGGTTGTGGATGAATGGCACAACAATGGGGCTACGGGATCTCATCATGGTATCTGCATGCATTCAAAATCCCATCAACAAAACGCCCCTGTGTTTTTGTCCAAAACATATGGCTGCCCACACAATAACCCTACCGCCACCATGGGCTACTCGAACCACAGCATTGACATCAGTAAACCACTCACCCAACAACACCATACGCACTGTATGCCATCTGCCCTGTACAGTGAAAAATGGGATTCATCCGTGAAGAGAACACCTCTCCAAAGTGCCAGATGCCATCGAATGTGAGCATATCACCACTCAAGCCGGTTACGACGACGAACTGCAGTCAGGTCAAGACCCCGATGAGTACGCCAAGCATGCAGGTGAGCTTTGCTGAGACGGTTTCTGACAGTTTGTGCAGAAATTCTTTGGTCTGGAAACTGATTGTTGCAGCATCTGTCCGGGTGGCTGGTCTCAGATGATCTGGGAGGGGAACATGCTGGATGTGGAGGTCCTGGGCTAGTGTGGTTACACATGGTCTGCGGTTTTGAGGCCGGTTGGATGTTCTGCCAAATTCTCTAAAGCGCCTTTGGAGACGGCTTATGGTAGAGAAATTAACAATTATTTCACGGGCAACAGCTCTGGTGGACATTTCTGCAGTCAGAATGCCAATTGCACGCTCCCTTAAAACTTGCAACATCTGTGGCATTGTGCTGTGTGATAAAAGTAGGCCTTTTGTGTACATGGAAAAAGTCTCAGATCTTTGAGTGTAGCTCATGAAAAATGGGGGCAAAAAAGTGTTGCATTTATAATTTTGACCAGGATAGATAGATAGATAGATAGATAGATAGATAGATAGATAGATAGATAGATAGATAGATAGATAGATGCAAGCTGCTTCTCTGATTTGTGGAAGATGCTGTAAGCATTTAAGTCTGAACCATATTGGAGTGGACTCACACTCACTTCCTTCCCCGTATTGCCTCCAAGGGTGTACACTTGCCTTGGAGAGAGTGCTAGTGTTTTATAATTTTCATAACTTATTCATTGTGTTGTGTATTTCTATTGTATAATTTAATTTAAATGAACTATTTTCACCTGATTTATTCAAGCAGTGTAAATATGGCATAATTATGTCAGAGCAGCATTTTTTTTTCCTCATAGCTCTTTATATCTCCCCTTTTTTCTGATGTAAAATTAAACCCAATATTTATCTTCCTTTTTCATCCATGTTCTTAAGAATGTCCAGTTAAATTAGTCTCTGACACTTAAAATTGCACACAAAATTGTAAAGTTGCTTGACCACCTGTTTCTGCTCCTCTGTTGCTTTAAAGCAGGGATCGGCAACCTTTCTGAAATGAAGTGCAATTTTAAGTTACTCCGTTAATACCCCCACCCATATAATTGTAAAAATCCTTTGTTTGTTTTGAGGTTTAAACTAGACTCTGAAGAACATATTTCCAATGGGCCTATTCCTAATCATTTACGCGTCATTAGATAGCTATCATTTTTCTTAATGAGCACAGTTTCCACATGCATCACAGTTATTTTGAGGCGTTTGAAATGTTTAATAGGACTCAATATACTTGGTTGAATAGATTCTGAAATGTATAGTGTTAACTAACCTCTTAGAAAAAAAAGGGTTCATTGGGGTTCTATAAATGAAGCATATAGGGTCCTTTACTCAACTCCAAAGAACCTTTTATGATAAAAAAAAGGTTCTATAATAACAAGAAAGAACCCTTTTGACACAAAGGTTCTTTATAGGCTATTAGACCCCGTTTACACCTGGTATTTAAATGTGATCTGTATCCAGATAAGTTATCCGGATAATAAGTACTGATTCCATTTACACCTGGCCACATAAATGTGTTTTTGCAAAACGGATATAAATCCGATCTTCACCTCCTGCGTGATTTATTGGATTGCACGCCACCAAAAGCAACAGATCTGAGCGGCATTTTATTTATCATCAGCTAATTTCCAAATCAGAGACATCAATAAGAGAGAGTGGCAACAGGCCTGGTAAGATAATTTCGTTTCTTTACTTGAAGATGTGTTAACTGCGTCTGTGACTTACTTTCACTTATATTTGCGATGTTTGCACATTGAATAGACGCTCAGCTGCTCATCTGCGGTGATGCGTGTAGCGTGTCGCATCTGACTAGGCTATAACATGACATATAGCCTATATAACACGCTCTCACTCGTTTATTTTTTAGCATTTTTGGGAGGAGTAAAATATACATATGTGGTTTCAACAACCAGATTGCGTTTACACCTAGTAAAGATCCGGACACAATGCGAGCCAGACTACCTCCAGATGTGGTCAGGCAGATCCGATCACGATCCGATCACAACGCGTTTACACCTTGCATTAGCATGCGTTTTTTATTATCCGGATAACTTATCTGGATACAGATCGCATTTTAATACCAGGTGTAAACGGGGTCTTATTCATTCATATATTACATTATTCTGCAACATTTTGTAGTTGTAATTAAATAATTGTTTATTAAACTGTTGTAGTAAATGCCCACACAGCAAAAGGACTCCGCGGCGGATTCGCCGCGGAGGTATCACGCCATTCGGAACGGACCCGCGAAACGGACCCGTATCGGGGTCCACTTGCTCGCAGTGACGGATCCGTAACGAAGGCGGATCGCGGACCCGTCGTGGCTCCGCGCTGCATCCGCTCCGCATCCGCGATTCAATCCGCCGCGGACCCGCAACGGACACATACACATTCTGGCTCATCTGGCCCGGGTCCGTTTTGGACCCGTTTATCTCATTTTTAAAATCCCTTTCTGTTCTTGCTGTAGGATGTAAAATATGACAAACTAGACTACAGTATACACCCCAAAACTGGCTATCCTTGGCTAGTACAGCATAGACCAGCAATTACCCAATCCTAAGCTTCAATTCAAGACATTTATTGTACAAAAGCCTCAATGGAAATATATAATTGAGATTAACATTTATGGAAAGTTATAGGTTATAGCCTATTCTGGTTTTGTTAAGTAGCCTATCTGGGCTAAGCTATTTTGCCATTAAAACCTAATTTAGTGCTTTATAGGCCTACGTCCGTCGGTAAACAAAAAATATTTTATCTATTAGGGTACAACTTCAATGAAATGCTGCACTATCAGAAAGTGAGTGAACAACTCCAACAACAAGAGGTTAAAGGTTTAATCAAAATGTTTTATTGTTTAATCACTTCTATATGTCTGTGGATGGAGGCGGGGCACGTCTCCTCGTTGCCCGGTCTGCCGCCAGGTTGAACCACCTGATTGTGTGCTTGGTGACCTCTGCATCCGTGGCTGACCGTGTAATCGTGTTTTTCCTCACAGCACCTGGAATAAAACAGACAGATATGTTTGTTTATGGAATGTATGTGGAATATTAAACGGAAATATAGTAAGACATAGCTTTGGTGCGCAAGCTGTTAAGAGAAAACCGCCCGTGGATTGAGCACGCAGCGGGACTCGTGCCCATCCATCTCTCGTCAGTTAACGATAATAACGTTAGTAATAAGCTACATGGCACTTTTTATTTTATTTTTCATTGACATCCGACTGAAACAAACTTTCCACTGATGTCTGTTTAAAGGCGGCTTTTAGTTTATCAGTGCGTCTATGCCGCATGCGCGCTCAATGCGTGTTTTTCTCTCATTAGCTCGCGCACCACAGCTTTTGCGTCATGGGCCTTGTGCCGCGGGGCTATAAAACCCATTAATTTCAATTGCTTTGTGCCGCATAAGTAAGTTTTGTTCCTGCATCGAAAAGCAAGTTTTTCTGCAGCCTATTGGAAAATATGAGCTAGAATTTTATAATCACAGTTCAATAGTGATAGGACGAAGGTTATCTGTGTCGTGCATCTTTACCGGGTTTGGGGATGAGAGTAATTATGTTTTATAGTCGAAGATATGGAGTTATTTTGGATACACTCGAGAATGGCTTGAAATAGTTCTCTCAAATCTTCCCTAAAGAATTTCAAAAATTTTAAAGAGAGCTCCGGGCATAAGGATTTCACCAACAGATAATTTATCTATTGCTTTATCCAATTCCTCTATTATAATGTCAGCCTTGTAAAAGTCTTAGCCTACTTGATTTTATTCATTAGGGTTATATTTGACAGCTCATATTAATTTTTACCTGTTGAAAAGGGCCATTTACACCTTTTGGCAGTAACTACTGTCTAATTTCCCATTTTAATATCTCAAGAGGTAAAATGGCTGGATCTGTCAAATATAATAACCATAAATAAAATACCTTTATTTACTATGGACAGAATGTCATAACTCATGTCTATTTACAGGTTATGGCCAGTTGTTTCTTATACTATATCTATATGCTACTATATCTGTATTCCTTATTCAAAGTAAATTGCATTGCATCTGAAAGGCAACGCTTAACTCAGCGCCATGTCCTGTGTGAAATTATGTAGCAATTAGAGGGTGCAGAAAGTGTTGTAAATGCCTTGTATACATGTACAGATCATTTGTAACAGGTAACAGTTTTCAACACAATGTGTAAACGGCGCATGAATAAATAAATTACAACACTTTCTGCATTCCCCAATTTAAAGTGTAAACTTTTCATCACTTGTAAATGTTACACATCATTCATAGATAACATTCATAGCTCATATGCCTTACTGATTCTTGAAGTGGTCATCTACAAATGATGTGTAACATTTACAAATGATGAATAGTTCACACTTTAGATTAGGGGATGCAGAAAGTGTTGTAAATTATTCATGCATTTATCCATTTACACATTATCTATAACATACAAAAAATGTAACACCATATATTAATCATTTATGAAACGCAGTCATGTTTTGTAAGATTGTTGCTGTGATTTTTTAAGGCTGCCCTAACATTTACAAACATGACTTTCAACATATTCAATATTACTTTGAATTATATACTTACTGAAAAGTAAGGTTTTTGTTGTCATCCTATTGAAGGACATTTTGTTATTAACCCCCTTCCAGTTTATTTGATGAGACACCTCATCTGTGAATATCCTGCCCAGGATGTTCCAGGTCACCCTCTTTACATCCTGGCCTCCAATGGTGGCCAGAGAAGAAATCTAAAAGGCAAATACATCTTTTTTAAATAGACAGCAAGGTAAACATTTCTAAGCTCAAGTTGAATTTAAAGGTGCATTTAAAATATTTGCGTTCCTTTTGAAAGCGTCCAGAAATGTAGAAAAAGATCGAAAACTTCTATGTTTCTACTTTTTGTCTATGATAATTTCTATGAAATTCTTCTAAATTATATTTTATTAAAGTTCGGGAGGAGCACGTTCATATAATTAACACAGGTATAGATTCAGCAGTCTCACCTCAATCCATTGTCAGTTTAGCAGCATCCCTCTGCCATCCCTTCTCCACACTTAATAGTCCTAACTACTTGCATATGGAGGGAGTACTCTGTATTTGGGCCGAACTCTGAGCTTAGAGCCCTCCCCCCAGACAGCAAGCCATATACACATTTAACTTTACCCCCTCTAATTGTATGCAAGTGTGAACTTGTGAAACATGTACCTGGATCACACCCTCATAGACCTGCGTCACCTTTAAACACATTAGCCACGCTTCCACTGTTGGGCCAGGGTTGAACCAGGCTAGTGTGTGCCAGGGCACACAGTAATAAACATAGTGAATGCTAGAAGTAATCAGCCAAATCATAAGGCTATCACAATCATGTTTTTATTCTGTCAGTAGCCATACGTTTCGGCTCTTTATAGCGGACTATCATAAAATAATGCTACTTTTTCTCTGACTGAAAATATCTGTAGCCTTCTGGGAGTCGAGAGAGTGCAAAACCAGGGAGATTGTCGCTCACAGACAGAATTTTACCACTGCTTCAATAGAATATTTGCAATAATCATGGACAATCAATAACCCTAATGGCACCATTCATATTAAATAAGAAAACTCACCACTCTCTGTCGAGCTGGGCCATTTGATGGTTCCTTTAAGAACATTTCAAATGCCTCCACTGCCTCCAATTGTTCCAGGGGAAACTGGATATTTTCTGGCATCTCAACATCTGGCCCCGGGGTGCTGTTCAGCTTGCTGGTGAGGTAGTTCACCTTTGCCACAAGCTGGTCCTGTTGGTGTTTAATAGTTTCCAGCAGGCTAAGGATGTGGACCTCAGCCGCTGTTGCAAAACATGAAATATAGCTAAATTGTAGTGTATTAAAATATATCATGTTTTAGTGTTTATCCTCATTACTCATAATACTGACACAAGTTAATGACAAAAGTTATTGTCAAAGTTTGAATGACCCTCTAGTGTTTGTCAGTTATTGCTCACCAGAACAGGGAATGGTATCAGCCATTCTTCCACCTCGCCAAGTTGGTCTATATGTCAGGTTTGGGGAGGCTTCCTCTGTTGGCCGCATGTTGAGGCTTGTTGCGGGGGGTGGAGGGAGTTGTGGAGGGACTGCCGTTCCTGATCCATAATGAAGGGAGCGGTGTGGGGGGAGGGGAACATTTTTTATTAAATGGTAGTAATCTGTTAACCATGACTGATGGGGAACCATGAATACACATGGGGCCTTTCTATTCACTAATATTTCAGAAATCAGTCCCTACCTTGAGTAACTCTGCGCATGTTAAATGCGGGTGCAGGGAGTTGAGGTGGTAAAGGGGTTTGGTGTCCTGCCCCATAGTCAGGTGCTAAAGGAGAGAAATCGGTATTTAATGGTTGTGATCTGTTAACCATGGTAGGCTGCAAGGCTGCAAGCTACAGGGCCAAACAATGGCAAACAAAAAAATCTCTGGTCATGCTGAACATTCAATCTGAGAAAATCTGAAAAACATTGAAAATCTGAGATGGTAATGCAGATTTAATCTATTAATTTGAAACAGAGAGACCATTGCTGTGTTAAAATTGATGGGGCCACTGTATTCAATATTATTTTGGAGAACAGTGTTTACCTGGACAGTTTTCTCCAAGTTGAGTATTTACTCTGCTGCCAGGGACCCGGCGAGAGGGTGGAGCTGAAGGAATGAATAGAATGAGATGAGAGTATCTTTAGCACTAAGAATGTTAACCATATGTCTGATATCAATGATATGTTATTTCGATATTAGGAGATCATTCCTTACTCTGCCAGTGCAATTGGCTTGAGGCTTCAGCTGATACACCAGGCATCCTCAGAGTTGCCAAGTCACCATTTTCTTCCTCACTGTCATCAGAGTCCCCAAAACGATGGCTGTTAAAAAATGACCAAATATACATTGGACAAGCATCTCTGGTCTACTTTTTAAATGCTACGGGAAAGAACCTTCCTATTACTGTAGAAAGATAACAAAATCAAAACAGAACAGAACACACTTACACTGGCTTCCTGAATCTTTTTTCCGGCAGCTCCCCCTCCTGATCTGCGTCAGACTGTAGGTCAGATGTGTTGCAGCCAGTCTGATACTGATTCATTAGCCTCATGGCGTCTTTGTAGTTGTCTGAAATTGAATATGTGAAAACGTTTCAAATTAGCTGTAGAGCCCCACAGAGTATTACTATTATTATTATTATAATTATTGATCATCTTTATTTAAAGGGATAGTTCACCCAAAAATGAAAATTCTCTCTCATCATTTACTCACCCTCAAGTTGTTCCAAACCTCTATGTGTTTATTTGTTCTGCTGTACACCAAGGAAGATATTTGGAAGAATGTTTTAATCAAACAGATCTCAATACCCATTGACTACCATAGTAGGAAAAAATACATTCTATGGTAGTCAATGGGGAATGAGATCTGTTTGATTAAAACATTCTTCGAAATATCTTCCTTTGTGTACAGCAGAACAAATAAACACATAGAGGTTTGGAACAACATGAGGGTGCATAAACGATGACAGAATTTTCATTTTTGGGTGAACTATCCCTTTAGCCAGGTTTGTCTCATTTGTTCCAGCAGCCATATCACCCTGTAGCCCAAGACTGGTTGCCCACTGAAGCTAAGCAGGGCTGAGCCTGGTCAGTACCTGGATGGGAGACCTCCTGAGAAAACCAGGTTGCTGCTGGAAGAGGTGTTAGTGATGCCAGCAGTGGGTGCTCACCCTGTGGTCTGTGTGGGTCCTAATGCCCCAGTAAAGTAATGGGGACACTATACTGTCAAAGACCACCGTCCTCCGGATGAGACGTTAAACCGAGGTCCTGACTCTCTGTGGTCATTAAAAATCCCAGGATGTCTTTCGAAAGAGTAGGGGTGTAACCCCGGCATCCTGGCCAAATTTGCCCCTAGTGGCCTCTGTCCATCATGGCCTCCTAATCATCCCCATATATACTGTAGCAATTGGCTTCATCACTGTCTCCTCTTTTCCAGTAAGCTGGTGTGTGGTGGGCATCATCCTGGTGGAGCTGCACATTGGAAGGAGATTCCCCCCTTCTATGTAAAGCGATTTGAGTGCTAATAAAAAAGCTCTATATAAATGTATTATTATTGAGAACACAAAATACAAGAGAGACCTGGCCAAGAATAGCATCAGTAGATATAAATTGAATATTTTGAACAATGCAAAGCAAAGACAAATTTATGTGGATTTTCAGAACACATAAATAATACGTTATTTCAAGTAAAAGTAGAAGCATGAAGCAACCATGAAATTATTTTTAAACAATAATTTTGTGATTTGCATACCACAAGTTCTGACAATCTTTACATCGTATCTTGGCCAGTTTGGCTCATGCTTCTCCTTGTTAGCAGCTGCCCTCTTCACACGTTCAGTGCTCTTAAAACTGGGCCAGTACACCATCCCATCATCATACCAGTCATTTGGCACAACAGCAATGTCCTTGCTCTCTTGGAATTCAATTAGATGAAAAGGCATCCTTAATGTAGAAAGAAAGAATAGGGGTATTTATTATTCATCAAAAAAGGAATAACGTGGACTAAAGCATGTACAGTGTGTACAAATAAGCAAGTAAGATGGGCTGAAATTTAACTTGAATGGTGCCCCAAGTATGTGAAGAAATATAAGGAAGGAAAATGTACAGGTCATAATAGTTAGGTAGAACTTTAGCACAACCGTAAAGTAGTACTATTGAATTTCAAGAATGTGTTTGGGTGTTGTTTCATAATCTCAAAAAAATCATTGCATAATGCTAATAATTTAGTGGACTTTGTACAGTCCATGGTATTGAGAAAGGTGGGACATGTTTTAAATTGCATGTTAAATTCAGCATAAAATATCATTTCCCCTGTAATTTTGAGGGATAATATGTCATCTCATATTTTGAAATCATGAAAAATTATGGCGTGGTGTAAGGGAAAATACCAACTTTGTGAAATACTTACAATAAATTTTCATCCAGAGTAATGGAAGTCATAGTCAGAAGTCAGGTAGTCAACTATATTATTAAAGTATTTAACTTGAACTGATTGTTTAAACTGATTGATTGAACTGATTTGTTTTTGTTCTGTTTTTTTTTTTTTTTTTTTTTTCATTTAATGGAGGAGAGGTATGGCCACAAAACCATCCCTGTATGGCAAGGCTACACATTTCTGTCGCAGCACTGACACCTCAACCGACTTCAGCTCATCAGATGCATCATTTACAATAAATATGTTCATTCTGTCGGAGCTGAAGGGGTATGTATAGAATGGAGACTGCCGGGAAAATTCAGTGTAAATAGCATACAAACCATTATCATTTTGGATAATGTTTTTGATAAGGCAGACTTTATCCCCCACCAGAAACATGTTGTCCCCTGTTGTTAACTTGATGGTCCACCTTTCATCTCGCATTTCCCCATATTGCGCATTAACTCCCATGCCAACAACAATTGGGCCCACAAAATGCTTCCTTTTCAGTGTAATGTCTGCATCAGCATCCGATTTGGTAGCTGTAACCTCTGAAAGACGCCGAATGAGTTGAGCTAAAGGGAACTCAGGTTTTCGAATGAGTTTTTTTATTTGCCCAAGGTGGTTCTCATATGGGAATGCTGAAAAAGAGTCCAGACAGCCATGCCTCTTTACCTCATCTGCCAGGTGGACCAGGCAGTGGACATTGTACACAATCTGGTCTGTACCATACAGCTCACCAAAATGGTTTACAAAAGATTTGAGCATTTGTCCAGCATAGTCAGCAAGGTTGAGATGTTCAGGGCTTACCAAAATGGATATAGCAGCTGACAGAAGCATGAAATTGTGGTACATGTTCCGGTCCAGGAATCCAGCCAGCACCACAGGGCCAGTGTACAGTAAGAACTGTCGGAATTCAGTCGCCTTCCAACGGTCCAACTCCCTAAACGACCGTGGTCTCCTGGCAAACTCAACTGGCACGTAGGGCCTCATTGACTGGAGTTTGCCTGACATCCTGTCTACTATTAATGCTGGCAGTCTTACTGTTAACGGACCCCGGAGCCAGGTCTGGAGCAGTTTCCTTACAATGCCCAAACACACTAGATGCATATAATCCAAGGGAAACTGTGACACCATGCCGACGGTCACGTTTTTAAATGGATGTGGCCCCTCGTGGTGGTGTAGTTCATCAGCCATCAGGTTGAATGAGGTGTCAGTTCTCTGGGGGTGCTCTGATCCAGGGAACGTCATACGCCGGTTCTGGTATTGCCCTGGGTGTAGGCACTTATCACACCCATGGTAAGCATTATGGGCTTTTATTTTTTTTACAAAGGCCCGTGCAGGGGCATCACAGATTACCGTGTGAAGCTTCATCTTAAGGTTCTTATCTCCAATGCAAAACCCAGCCTCTAGCTCCTGTAGTTCATTGACAAAATCAGATAGGAACTCTGTGGCCGAACTAGGTTTTTTCGGTCCACAGTAGGCCCCAATGACAACAGGTTCCTTCATGGGGACGGTAACCAGTAAGCCAAGGATGGGCCACAGCTGTACAGTGGAACTTTTAAATAAAGGTAGACCATCTATATTAATCTGCAGCCCTAATGTCATACCCTCTTTCAGTGTGTTGACGTATTTGCTTATAGTGGCTCTCAAGGAGGAAAGGATGCCAAAGTGATGGTAGTTCCCCCCAGCCTTCTCCTGAATAGCATAATGTGTTTTTGTCTTGAGAAGGGTCCTACCATCCTTTGGCAGATTGGGATGGGTTATATGGAGTATACTCAACAGTGCAGTCAGCGCAACAAGGGAAATACCAAAACTCACTGCCCAGTTGGCAATATGATCAGAAAGTGATGTCAGGTCATCATCATTTTCAGAATTCGAACCTGATGTCCCATCCCCATCAGAATACACATCATCAAAATCTGCCTCCAATTCCATGTCCTCTTCAGCTAACACTTGCACCTCTGGCATTGCATGTGCAGCTGAAGAGTGTGGGGCAGTGTTCTCAGAAAGAAGGCTTTTTCCATGATATGAAAACTTAATTTAATTTAATGTAAAAAAAATAATAATAATTATATCTTCTCAATTCTTAACCAAGAATAAAAAGCCAGATAGCTTAAATGACAAGCCTGAGCTTTGACAATTCCTTATTAAAAATATGTTTTATAAGTCTAACTATCGAGATTTTAAGTAACTAGAGATGGAACTTTATGTACACCACGAACAAAACCACTGAAATCAGTTCATAAATATAATTTATTTTTTGTTTTATCCAGAAAAACCGTTTACTTGCATTTGATTACAGTGCAGTCATGCCCTCTGCAAAATGGCGGACTCGTTGACGTTTCGCAGCAAGGATCCAAAGCGGCCAATAGGGAGTCTATGCATTTATTATGTCTATGGTCTCTGGAAAGTGCCCTGATTGGTTCAAGCGTCTGAGCCGCCTCGCCATAGGTTCGTGCATTTGCTGCACCACAGCCAATGACCGCTCTAGACTAGACGCTCATCTGAATCAAAAGTCTTTAATAGTCTATTATGTCTGCTGTGCAACTTTAGTGCGTCACAAAAAACTGCCTTCAATATTCTTGAAGAAAAGGAGTTTACCCGTAATACGAGACCTCTCGGAACACAAATTTAATTGAGAAAGGTCATAACATTTACTGTTAGTTTAACTGATTTTATTGTTCTCATTTGTAAGTAGAATAAGCTTTAAATAAGTGAGCTTTAAATAAAAGCGTCTGCTATGGATCAATGTATTAATATAAAAGTCATTAAGTGTCGCACCGCTGCTCCTTCAGCTGTTTATGAAAAGTTATAAAGTCGTAATTACATGACTGCAGAGCTGTCTGCTCTGATAAACTCAAGCGAAATTTCATCCGCTCCCTCGAGCAACTAACGTTAGAACAGTGACAAGACGTCGTCACGGCAACCAAATAACAGTAACCTATATTGTATATAATATATTATAATAAATATAATATTTGTCTATAAGGAAAGTGACAAACAGCGACGAAAGCCGTGACATGAAATCCGCACTCACAGGTCCCGAGAAATAGGGACAGCTAACACAGTAACGTTATATTGGAAAATACATAGCATTGTGGACACTGCTTGATTCATTTAACTTAACGTACTGTTTATCGGACCCCAGACACAGGAAATGTTTATGTTCACAAGGTATGGTTTAATGTAACTTAGACAGTGAGTTTCATTAGCATTTTAATGTTTGAGTCGGTTCAGACAAATGCCGCCTATTTGAACGTCAAACTCAAAAGTGCACTGCGGTCAAGTGGGCCGCATGTGCGGGCTTCTGCTAACTGAGCCGACTCAAACATTAAAATGCTAATGAAACTTAATTTTCATTATATAATCGGATGGCAGACACACACACATGACTAAAACTGGCAAAATGCAAACTTAATAATGCACAGCTAGCCAGAAGCTATAGGGCTAAATCGTTAAAGTGAACATTCTAAATTTGTCCCATATCATTAGTACAGAGTGATATAATAACAATGTTTACCGTGAATGTCGCAAATATCAACAAATCAATATACTTACTTAACAGAGGGTTCAACACAACCGTGTCACAGCAAAAAATATTCTCGACTGATATCAGCTCTTGATGACGCGCTGTAGTCAAGTCAACCGTTGAAAAGGCGCGTCCACCTTCGAGCATCCGACATGGGTCCGCTCAGGACCCGCTGTTTGACAGTAAATTTACGGATCCTCTCGGAGGCGGAGCTGATCCTCTGGGCGGTGCCGAAACGAATTTGACAGTCACGCGGGTTTGGCGACTTGAACGCGGATCCGCATAGGAGTCTCCTGCTGTGTGGGTGAATATCACATTTTAATCATGCTGATTTTTGGAGGAGGAAAACTGAAATGGCACTCTTCATGTGATATTGATTAACTACATAAATAATATAAATATATACATTTTCCAACCCCCATATCTTGAATTTTGTGATCATTCACATGCATTCATAAATACATTTTTGGGACTTGATGTTTGTCAATAATATGAAATATTTAATCCGGAAAGGACAAAACAAATGATAATGAATGAACCCTAAAGGTTCCATATAGAACCTTCTTCTTGGTTACAAAGAACCCTTAAAAAGGGTTCTACTGTATATAGAACCGTTTAGGGGTTCCAAATAAGTAGCACCTTTTAAGGTTCTATATAAACCTTTTCTTCTAAGAGTGTATGTACAGCGGAACAAAATGTAAGCTGTCAATCAGTAAATTGTAGTACTTATAAGTTTATAATGAGGAATATTATGAGGAATATTATTATTATAATATAATAATATTATTATTAATGACTTGATATTATGAGGAATTAATTACCTCAAAATGTAGATCTGTGTGCATGTACAAGGTACTTTATCTAAATGAAATACTTCTCTCACGTTTGCTCACGTGCCAGTGATTACATCTCCACGTGCCGACCGCTGCTTGATTGCAAACCTTACTATATCACACTGCCTTGAAAGCAAACTTAGTCTCAGTTGTGGAATCTCTGGTGTAAAGTTTGACCTCAGTGAGTGTAAAGTAGACATGACCTATACTGGGCTGCCTAGATCAGACTATGGAATAAAGGGCAGCTCTCTGCTGCTTATGTTGGCTGTCAGTCTAGTGCAGATTTATTGGAGGTAATAGCCCTGTGATTGAGTGACAAGTGGAGTGGTTTACAGCTACAGCTGTGGTGTGGAGGGGATAAATTCAAGCTGTGTGTGTCATAAAGAGCATACAGAAGGAGAGCGAGTGGGGGAGAATGAAAGCGAGAAGAAGAGTCAGAAATAGAGTGCATGGGTCATCTGACATTGATTTCACAATCACAACTTTGAATCACAACAATCACAATTACAAGAGCCTCTGAGAAGTTCAGGATAGACTGGAATTCTGGATCGACTAACTATACAGGACGTATTTGCTGTGTAAAACAGACTTCCATAATGGTCAAATCAGGGTCAGATTAAGTGGTAAAAAGAAAGAAACAAAAAAAAAAACATTTCAATCTTTACCTTTTAACAAATTAGCAATAAGAAAATGTTTAAATAAGAGTATACTGTACATTCAAATTTTTGTTATTACTGACTATGTGCATCACATGCAACTCGGCATATTCTCAGAAGAATCCCAAAATTAGGAAAGAGTGTCTGATGTTTGATTTAAACAAGGTCTTCGTTAATTTCAGTCTGATCTTTATAATTTAGTGAGCCTGATAGCAAACCCACAACTCATGAGTAAATGCTTCAAAACACTGTTGAGTCTAGTGGTTGTTGTTTAAATAAGCTTAAAGCTGGGATAACTATACTTGAATATCACTTAGCATTTAAACACATCCAGTTACTTCAGTAATACATGGTTTGTACTTTTCTTATTGGCAGTTTTTGTTTTTATCTGCTGAATTGAGAGCTGGTGTGCTGGGTATTTATAAACCGCTGCTGAGACTCAGGCTAATTACACCGGCTAACAAGTAAACAGGTTGAGCATGTACTTCAATTGACTTAAAACTGCATGAGTAGAAAACACAATATGAGTTTGATAAAAAAAAAAAAAATGCTTTTACACAAATACCATAAAGTAATTGCATTCCTGTGTGCCTCAAAAAGCAACTTGCCAAGAACATGTTGCTGTCTGATTTATTGATTTTATTTATTCTTTCAGAATCATTGAGATAAATCTCAGAGAGGGACTTTTAATGTAGAATAGAGGAAACACGGAGCATAATCATTACCGTGAGCAGATTGAATTGAGTTGATGCATGGCTTAATTCATATACAAATTAATTTCCTACACGTTTGAGGGTCTTGAAATGCCATTCTTGATTGTTTCAGTTGAGTTAATCCCCAGGGGTCAAACTGGATGAATACACTTAATTAGTGCTCATTCTGTCGTTGTGCGGCAGACTTTTGCAATGTTTTTCACAAAGGGCCTCAGGTAAATGTCCTCACGTGAACAAATTAGATTTTGGTTCAATTAGTGAAGTGACCGATTAATCAGGCGATCCTATCCAAAGATCCGCCTGCCTTGCTTGTAAGCAATGTCATTCATCAAAGGAAGAGATGGGGCATAAACAAAATCACCACCAAAATATGCTTTACTACATTCAATTCACCTCTGACAAACCGCAAAAGCAGTGGAAAGCTTTGCCAGTTTCCATAGCTTCAGCTCTCCATCTGTTGAGAGAAACTGCATTTGCTGTCCTCAGCTGAGCTGCTATTTTTACAAGCGAATAGATGCTGCTCCACATCATTTCCATCAGAAAGCAAGGCATGGAGACAGAGAGATAGACTATTTAGCTTGTGTTCGGGTTCCAATGGCAAACAAAGGACCTCGAATCCAGCAGGGATATTGTTTGCGTTCGAATTGTGTTTTAGCAGCCCGAAGTACACTAGTGTTCCTCCGACGGATGATTTGCCTAATGCCACATTCGCAAACCTATTTATGCAAATGAAGTGTGTTACCTCCTGTAGGCTGGATTTTGTCAGTTTAATGTGTGTTTGTGGGTGTTTCATGATCAAAAACCTTTTTATTAGAATGTGCATTTGTACTAGTTTCTGTGAAATAGCATGGAGGAAATAGACCTTAGCATATCAAGTTCCAGCTCTTTGGTATTTTGCCATGCATGTGTAGATAAGGTGTGTGCGCATGCTCCACTTGCCCTTGCCCAAGGTTAATCTGTCACTTTTAGTGTATATTTACATTCATTCTTATCAGCTTCTCGCCGCTCATCTGTCTGTGTGAATCCAAGCCTCACACCAAATCGCTTTCCTTTAAAATACACAAGCGTGCTCTCACTCAGACACTTCTTACTGTTCCATGTTCCATGGGGACATTCTGAAGAAATAATGATTGTTAGACTGTACAAACTGTATATTCTGGCCCCTAACCATACCTATAAACTATACCCATCACAGAAAACGATCTCCATTTTTAGATTTAAAAAATAAATAAACATCATTAGTATGATTTATAAGCTTTTTCCTCATTGGGAACCAAAAATGTAACCAACAAGGACAAGGATTTCGGATATTGCCATCTTTGTGGGGACATTTTATCCCCATAGTGCCTCTCATGGTATGTCATGGCACAAAGACATTTGGTTGACTACTTTTACTTTTTTTCTGTCACCCTCCCTAAATTTCAAAGGAGAAATTCAAAGAGGTGGTGTAAGTGAGATAAAGAGAGTGAGAGCAGCAACCAAGAGAAAACTATCTCTGTTTTCTTCTTCGTTCAGGCTGCATGGGCTGAGAACTGTATGTAAATAGCTTTAGGCGCTCATACTTTTTCCACATCCGCTGACCACTGTTTTTGCAGATCAGAAAGAAGCAAATAACATTTAACACACTTTTACTTATTCATCGTATTATTTAAACTATGTTTGTGTACATGCTTTTAGGGGCCTTTTGATGATACTGTGAATATGGAATCCATGTACGTTGGTCTGTTTTGCTGAAATATGTCAAGAATTTATTTTTAAATGTTTTTTTTTTTTCAGCCCATTCTCACCCCCAAGGCGTCACTTAACTGACGCCTTGGGAAGCATTTGGACATGCTTTAATATCTGACGCTTTAGGCGCCCTTTAGTGTCAGTAAGATGACGCCCTAGGATCGCGTGTACCCTACCCCCACCCCGCACTTAAACCTAACCGCGTCCTCTAACAGACGCTTTCCTTTAGCGTCAGTTAGATGACGCCGTAGGATCGCGTCATGTAAGTGACGCTAAAGGGCGCCTAAAACGTCAAATATTGAAGCATGGTCAAAGGTGACGCCTTGGGGTGAGAATGCGTTGTTTTTTTAATGTTTGCTCCCAAAATAATGTCCAAATTAGATAGTTATTTCTAGCGTTAAAGATAATCAGATTATCTAAAGACAGTTACTGATCTAACATTTGGAATGACTTAATTTTTGAGGGGTCTTGGAGGTCTTTGATATATGAGTGGCTGAAAGAGTCTGGGAGCAAACAGAAAGACTGCACAACAATTGCAGATGACAGATAACTCATCTCTGTCTTCTCTGTAATTGTTTTTTATATAAAAATGCCTCTTGCACTTACGACTCTCTTTTGCAGCTTATTGATTTTGACCATATACCAGATACAAATGGTTTTGCTTTTAAAGAGAAAGATAGCATGCAATTTATCTATTACTTGTAACAAAATGCATTGATTGACATGCTCCTGGAAGTATATATTTGAATTTTCAGACTTCAGAGTCCAAATGTTCCAAATGTTTAAAGTAAGGAGACCAAATTTCAGTGAAATCACTATCATTGAATAATGTGTCAATTGCCAGTGTTTTCAATTATGAATCACATATAGTCCATTCAGACTCTTACCATCAGAATAACTCATAGCATACTTGTTCCCTCAAAATTATATTTGCTAACTGACTGTGCTATCATTAAGCATCTAAAACCATGAGTGGGATTGACAGTTACTACAGAAAATCTGTGTGTAAAGCAACTTAATATAATCAGTATTAAAGTATATATAGTAACATGGCAAGTAATATGTATAGCCTTTGTTTTCAATATCTGTCCATCCTATTTTCCTGTTTGTGTAGATTGACAGACAGCTAAAAGTAATTTTTTTTTAGGTTGTCTACTGTTTAGTGAGTTTCTTTTCCTTTTATTAAAAAAAAAATGGAAAAATAAAGATGCTATTGAATGATATACAAGCATGCGGAAGATTTTTCAAGCATGTGCAAGATCTAACACATTAGCCTTTCAC